TCAGATGAGAGAGGTGGTCGTGTATCAGATGAGAGAGGTGGTCCGGCGTATCAGATGAGAGAGGTGGTCTACTGTGTCAGATGAGAGAGGTGGTCTGGGGTGTCAGATGAGAGAGGTGGTCTGGTATATCAGATGAGAGAGGTGGCCATGTGTCAGATGAGAGAGGTAGTCGTGTGTCAGATGAGAGGTGGCAGTGTGTCAGATGAGAGAGGTGGTCTACTGTGTCAGATGAGAGAGGTGGTCTACTGTGTCAGATGAGAGAGGTGGTCTGGTGTATCAGATGAGAGAGGTGGTCTGGTGTATCAGATGAGAGAGGTGGTCTACTGTGTCAGATGAGAGAGGTGGTCTGGTGTGTCAGATGAGAGAGGTGGTCTGGTGTATCAGATGAGAGAGGTGGCCCATGTGTCAGATGAGAGAGGTAGTCGTGTGTCAGATGAGAGGTGGCAGTGTGTCAGGTGAGAAAGGTGGTCTACTGTGTCAGATGAGAGAGGTAGTCTGGTGTGTCAGATGAGAGAGGTGGCCATGTGTCAGATGAGAGAGGTGGTCTACTGTGTCAGATGAGAGAGGTGGTCTACTGTGTCAGATGAGAGAGGTGGCCATGTGTCAGATGAGAGAGGTGGTCGTGTGTCAGATGAGAGAGGTGGTCTACTGTGTCAGATGAGAGAGGTGGTCTGGTGTATCAGATGAGAGGTGGCTGTGTGTCAGATGAGAGAGGTGGTCGTGTGTCAGATGAGAGGTGGTCTGGTGCCCAGCACATCTCTTGCGCTAGAGGCGGATCCCCCTGTAAGGCTCCTGCAAAGATTTCCACGGTGCTGTAATGAGTTGGAATCGACTCACCAGCAGCGGGTGTTTGGGGTTAGAACTCAATTTATTGAAGGGCAGTCTCCTGGAGGAGCTGCAGGACTGCTGGGCTGGCACTGTGCGGTGGGCCAGGGGAGTGGGCCCTCCACCGGGCCCTGGGGAACGTCCCTTACACAAACGTTTGCTGATAAGTGCATCTGGGGCTGTCGATGGCTGCCAATAAAGCCCAGGGTTGTTTTCCGCATACTGTCAGGATTTGGGGACTTAGTGAGTCATGAGCTTGTGACTCTACCCGGGCCCTGAGATTGTGAGCACTGAACTCTGGGTTCTAGCCCGGGTTCCAGATCTGCCTCTGACACTGTGCCTGGCACAAGGGACCTGCCCCAGAGACCGCGTAACCACTGGCAGAGAGGAGCTCCATGAAGAGCATGTATGCGGCAGGTGGTGGAAAGTGAAGAGTAGACGGGAAAGTCATAAAAGACAAAGAAGCAAAAATGAGCAGAGAGGGAGAGTGGAGCTCAGAAGGCTTCCTGGAGGAGGCGGCATTTGAGCTGTGTCTTGCAAGCATAGGACAAAGAACAAAACCAAACGCAAACCTAAGGGGTATTTTTAGGGTAGTGATACTACATAATCCTGGTATAGTGGACACATGACATTATGTAATTGTCACAGCTCACAGAACCACACACCATCACCCTCACATATCAGAGAATTCTCAAAAACCAAAACAATGTCTGTGTATGAAATACAATATAAACAAATTATTGCATGCAACAGAATTTTTTTTTAAAAAAAAAAACCAAACCCTCATTTAAACTCTGGACAAGCAGTTACTAATAATGTATCTATTGATGCGCCAACTGTAACAAATGTACCAAAGAAATGCAACATAGTAACAACTACACTGACACATGAGCACAGTGGTGAAGAGTGCTGACTGAATGAACCCGGCTGCAGGACTAGGCAGGGTTTCCATCTGTTTTACAGGAAGGCCTAACAACAAACAGCTAGGGAAAGTTTTCCAGAGAGCGAAGGAGCGGATATAGGAGAAGGGTCTGTAATTTCTGCAATCCTGAAACTACTTTAGGAACAAAGTCTACTTAAAACACAAGAAAACAGAATGGATGGAGAGCCTGGTACTCTGAGCAGAGAGAACAGCCTGTGCAGAGATACTGAACCCTGCTTGCCTGGCATCTGGGGCCCGGTGAGCCCTGTGGGGTGCAGACACTGGCTGCAGAGAGCACCCCTGGTACAGCCATTCTCAAAGCTTTGGCAGGTTGACCAAAGGCCAGCTGGCTTTGCACCTGTCTCTGAGAAGACCCTGGGCACATGCATGGGATTCTGTCTTAAGGCTTCTGCTACATTATGCAAGACAGATACTGCCAGGCAGCGGTGGGTCAGTGGCAGAATCCATGCCCTCCATGTGGGAGACCAGGGTTCAATTCTCAGCCAATTCTGTACCTTAAGCACGGCCACCACCCATCAGTTAGTAGAGGTGAGTGTGAAGCTAAGATGCTAAACAGGTTTCAATGGAACTTACAGGCTAAGACAAGGAAGAAAGACCTGGCAATCCGCTTCCAAAAGTTAACCAATAAAAACTCTTATAGTCCTATTTGCAATCAATCGGGGGGATGACTGGACAGCATTTCTTTCAGATGTGCCGGGGGTCACCATGAATCTCGGCACAACGTCACGACAATTAACAACAAAGAGCAATGAGATCTAACTGGAAAGTGTACGTCCCGCGTTAGTCCATGAGGAATCTCCTTCCCCCTCACACCTCCCGTGCTCTGGTCTCAAGTTCCTTTGGCACTGTGGCCTGTCTGGCTCCAAGGGTCATCTCTGACCTACAGGTGCCCCTGCCTGCCCACGCCAGCACACCTGGCCCTAAGCTGCCTGTCGGGGATGGCCCACTATGGCTCCTTGAGACAGAAGAGGGCCATGAGATGCCCCAGCACTGTGGTGACGGGGGAGGGCAACGGTCAGCTTTCCCAGTCATTGGGAAGGCAGGACCCCGTTCCCTGTGGGAGCCAATCACACTCACCGTCGGGCCCAGAAAAAGCACAGGGAGGGGATGGGAAGGCCTGGGGACAGGATTCAAGTTCAAGCAACCCTGGGTATCATAGCTAAGAGAAGCAAAGGCCGACCCCTTCCACGTGCCCAGCTGAGGGCCTTGTCTCACCCAGTCTCCACCATCACCTCCCTCCAGCCCTGCCCTCACCATCCTCACATCTTCTGAGTTCCCGCCTGGCCTCCCAGGACCCAGCCCAACCTGCAGCAGGCATCCCTGATGCCATCCGCACAGGTCAGCCTCCGGTCTGGCCGGTCAAGCACAGATTCCCTGTGGTCCCTTCAGGGGAACAACACTGTCCTTTGCTGGTGCTCGCATCCCACTCTGCATGAGCCCAAGGCGACCTCCACGCAGGAGAGTGTCCGACCTTACCGTGAAAGCGCTCAGCCGTCTTCCGCCGCAGGGCCTGCACGGTCACCTCGCTGTCCGCCCACTCCAGGACCAGCCTGCGGCCGTAAAGGTGGGTGCTGTGGCACAGGGCATTGAAGGCACGCTGCGGGAGGCACAAGAAACAGCACAGTTCAGAGTGAGGACAGCACTGCAGGTGACCCGCCGCCTGGTGGCCCTCAGCTCATAACCTCTGACCTCTAGTGAGGGTGAGGAGCCGCTGGTGCATTTATGTATTAGCAGGTCATGTGCCCAGGGGGAGGGCTGGGGGCCACTGCACCGTCAACAGAGCTGTCGGCGTGGGCCATGGTGGGCATCCTGCTGCACCCCGGAAGCCTGTCTGAGCTAGGGGAGCTCATTAACTGGACTCACTCCCACCCCGCCATGTGACATGTAGGAAAGCCAGGCCACCCGACGACAGCTGTGAAGTCCCTCATGTTCACACAGTGACATCTCCTTGTCTGGCCCTGGTGATTCTGTGGCCCCATCCCTGGGGGTGCAGACAAAGGACTATAGCATTTGGTTGCTAACTGCAAGTCTGGAGATTTGAGTTCACCCAGAGGCACCTTAGAAGAAAGGCCTGGCAAAGACTTCTGAAAACCCAGGCAGGTTCTGGAAACCTTCTGGTGCACAGCTCTGCTCTGCTCCACCATGGGAGGAGGCCACCATGGCTGTGTCCACTCCACAAAAACTGGTGACAATTCAGCTGTCCACCCCAACACTGCCACTGTCCCCCCGATACCACCACTGTGCCCTCAAGACCTCCACTGTCCACCCAAGTCCTCCACTGACCACCCCAAGACCTCCACTGTCCCCCAAGACCTCCACTGTCCACCCCAAGACCTCCACTGTCCCCCAAGACCTGCACTGTCTACCCCAAGACCTGCACTGTCCCCACCAACACCTCCACTGTCCCAAGACTTCCACTGTTCCCCCCAAGACCTTCGCTGTTCTGCCCCAAACCTCCACTATCCACCCCAAGACCTCCACTGTCCCCATGCCCTGTCATTGTTGCCGAGTTGAAATTGAGCCCACACACACCGCTCTCAGCTGGGGAGGCTGGGGGGTGGGGTGCCCAACCGAGGGAATTGGGGCTTTTAAGACAGAAGAGGGGCTGGTGGGGCATCCAGCATGGTGGGGAGCCCATCGTGGTTCCAGGACCCCTGAGGAGCCACAGTCCCAGGAACACGGATGATAAGAGGCTGCATCTGGGGTGCACTGAGCCCCAATTCAGCAGGAGGGTGTGGCAAGGCAAGAGACACAGGACCTGGGGAGGTGCCCCTGATCTACGCCTCTCGGGTCTGCCTGGTTTTTGTTCGTCTCTTACCAGTGGGAGAGAGCAAGCAAGCAAGACATTGCCCCATGTGCCATCTTGGTCAGGGCCACCCTGGTGCCCCAGAAAGTCTGGGAAGTTGTCCATTCATCAGAGCCTCCCCGACAGCGGATGGTTGCTGGTGGGGGGGTTGACAGAACCAAACACTGCCCTCCCAGTGCCGTTCTCATAACTGGTGGCCAGCTCATGTCCAGTACTGCAGAGGACTCCTGCTCTCGCTGACCCCACATCACCACACATGACCTCCTGTGTGAGTGGTGGATGCCTCCTGACGATGCCCATGGTGAGCGAGGTGGACGACATTCCGCCGTATCTGTGCGGTGCTCACGGGCTGATCTCTGGAAACCGATTGCCAGGCCCTTCTTCCTTGTCTGTCTGAGACCAGCTCTGCTGAAACCTGTGCCCAGGTTGCCACAGGGGACCCTGACGGCATCTGAAAACACTGCTGGCACAGCTTCCAGCGTCTCAGCAGCGTGCGTGCCGTCATGGCCAGAGGTTGTGCTGCTGTTGTTAGGTGCCATGGAGATGATGATGACTCACAGCGACCCTACGAACGACGCTCCAAACCCCGCCCTGTCCCCAGCCAGCCTCACCACCTCTGACAGTCCCGACCCCGCTGCCGCAGGCATGTGTCAGTCCACCTCATCCAGGGTCTTCCTCTCGCTTCTAACACAACCCCCTCTCACCTCCTGGCTCTGGACCCCTCCTGCACGGTGCTTAAGTCTGTGGACACTGGAGCGGGTTACCCTGGGTTCAAATCCCAGTTCCACCAGTAGCTGTGTGATCTCACCCCTGCACAGCGAGGGTGGCTGGGAGCGGTCACTGGACTGCTGAGGCCGAAACTCACCGCACTGCCTGGCACCTGGCCGTTATGATTCTATGGATGATTACAATTATTACTGTTGTCATTATTTACGTCCTTGACTTCATTTTCATTTCCGCATAAGAGCTTGGGGGCGACGGCAGGTAGGACACAAAAGAGCTTTTATGTTTCAAGTGAGAAGTCTCCAGTTCTCCAAAATCAGCAGCACTACCCTTGTGGGTTCGAGTCCCCATGGGTTAAGAGGAAATCGGGCTGTTGCCGAGCACCCACGGCCTTGGTGCCTGGAACGCGGTGGCCTCAAACAGTTGCGGGCGGCAGGGGGACAGCGATTTGTGGCTGGAACTGGCCTCGGATAATTCAGTGTAATTAGGCTTCATTAAAAGAATGTAATGAGAACTTGCCAGATCGGAGGCATCCGAGGAGGCGCTTGGGGGAGATAGAAGAGGAAGTCATGGACTTCGGGCCTCCAGGGGCTTCGGGGCCAGTGTGAGTGAGACGTCGAGGGCAGGACCTCAGGCATGTTCGAGGGGCAGGGTAGCTGTGGGCTTTAGTCCAGGGTCACGTGCTGGTCACCGCCCACACCTAGAAACTGAGCCTCACCTTCGCCAAGACGCCTTTCTGACCTGCACCGCCCAGCCTGTCTCTGATAGTGGGGGTGGGGCTGAGTGCCACCAAGCCGGAGCTGACCCACAGCTAACAGGTTTCAGAGGCATAAGAGGAGATGGCCTATCTTTCTCCCACGGAGCAGCTGTGGATGCGGTGGATTTGAACCGCATACCTCTGTGCTGGCAGTGCAGCTCCACGCCACTAGGCCAACAGAGCTCCTTTGCCCTGATAAGCTCAGGGCCAGCACACTTGGGGGTGACGGCTAGGAGAAAGTGGGCAGCATTCATTCCTGGTTCTGGGCTCCTTTCCAAATTCCCTAACAGGGCCTTCCTCTTGCTGTGGGATCGTGGACCTCATGAGTCCACCACAGGACCTCTACCTGCTCTGGAGAACAGCCATTACTCTCTCATTTCTGGGAAGGGAAGCTCTAGGCCCTGGCCGAGATGGCACGCAGGGCGATTCCTTGCTTGCTTTCCCTTCCGGCCTCCACATGCTCCATGTTCAGGCTCTGTCACGCTCGCCCAGGAGCCCTGTGCACACGGCCTCCATCCCAGCCCTGCCTCGTGAGCCTTGTGACCACCTGCTACGTGGCAACTCGCCGCTGAGTGTCAGCAGGAGGCACTCGGCCACCCTGAGCGCGGCCTGGCCAGGGCGTGCCTGTAAACCCACCCAGGGCTGGGACGAGGCTGGGCCCTCCGGAGGCAGAGGGCAGCTTGTGTGCTGCCTGGCTCTCTCCACACCCTGTCTGCTTAGACCAGGGTGCTGCAGAGACAGGAGTGCGTCCTCCTGAACCGATTCCACTCCTGCCGACCCTCCGTCTCTTCCTAGGACCGCGGAGCAGCTAGAGAAACACTTGGGCCTGTTGGGGTCTCTGGAGGCTTGCAGACAGACCTTTCTTCCTCTCGTTCACGCATGCGCACGTGCACCTGCCTCATTAGATATCACCGCGGCGTGCCGGGAGGACCCCCCATGAGGTGAACACTAAATGGGGAGATACAGAGCCGAGATCCCATCCCTGAGTTCACAGAACCCCCACAATCCAGCCGCCTGCCGACTCAGAGTGACACCACTGGACAGAGCGGACCTACCCGCGGGCTCCTGCAGCTGCAGTCTCTGCGAGGCCGCCAGGCGCCGTTCTCCCCAGGAGAGGCTGCTGGGTTCGAACAGCTAACCTTTCAGTTAGCAATGGAGAACTTAAGCACTGTACCTGCCACTTGGGAGCGGTGCCAGGTGGTGGGTGGCCTGGTCAGGGTTCTGCCTCCAGAGCTGGACAGAGACAGTGGCACTGCCCTTGTCACAGGGCCTAGCGGGCACTTCTCCACCACAGCGCTGCTGGACGGAAGAGTGGAGCCTGGCGCGGGGCAAGGGCCTGCAGCCTGCTCTCGCAGCCCCTGGGGTGCTTTTCCTTTATGGGTTATTGTTAACGTCGTCGGAAGTGAGAAGGGCCGCGTGGCTTGGCTGGGGGTGCGGCTTGCCTCCGTAACGCATGCTGGCGCGCCGGAAGCAGAAACGTGGGAAGCAGAGGACATGTGCTCATCACGGCGAAGCCTCGGGTCCCCGACCCCTGGTGGACCCCGCAGATGGACATGGCAGGCAGCGGGCGGTGTGCTAGCATCGCGTACACCCAGGACAGGAAGGGGACACACTGAGTGAGGAGTGTGATTGTCCTCAGTTCATGTGTGTGTCCCTCCTGCAGAGTTCAGGTCCTCACACACATGACACCCCAGGACATGGAGGACAGGAGGGAGGCAGCGTGCCTCAGAGAAGACACAGGCGTGTGCACCTCACACTCTCTCACACACAGTGAGGGTAAAATCCAACCTGCTTCTAGTAAAGGTCCCCTGGTGCAGCCATGGTGAAAATGAACTAAAGGTCAATGGTTCGAACCCACCAACGGCTCTGCAGAAGCAAAGTCCTTGCAATCTACTCCTGTAACAACAGCGGTCAGGGACACTGGATGACGCTGTTCTATGCTGTGACCTGGACAGTGTGGGTAGCACTCGGCAAGGACAGCTGCTGCCTCCCGGGGCTCAGCGACGTGAAGACCCTTGTCTGTGGCACACACCTCTGTGAACACAGGCCACACCGCCTGCTCCCCAACATGGGGTCCAGGGGCCACATCTCATGGTCTCTGGCATTCCTGGCTCTGTGGGCAGTGTCCCCCCAGCCTGGCTGCGTTCCCACCAGCTGACGTTCCCTCCTTGCTCCCAGCACTCCCTATCAGGCCTGGTGATCTAATGGTGACTGTCTCAGGTATGCGTTGTCTCAGGCACCCTGCTAGGAGGACACGGGCCAGGTCTGTCCCCAAGCAGCTCCGCAGGGCTCTTTCACTGCCACAAAAAGC